GCTCGGCCGACGCTGGTGGCGGCTTTGGGGCGGTGGATCGTGCATGGCAGCTCCCGGGAGCTGCTCAGGGCTGAGCTGGATCGACAGGTGCGGTTTACGACTCACCCCTTCTTTTCACGCCATTTGCGGGCACGATAAAGATCTGAACACGCACATAGACCCTGCAAGGGCTGCCCGCGGGCACGCCAAGCGCGGCTCCATGTCAGGCGCTTGTGCGCGCCGGCTGCGGCGCAGATCCAGGGGGGTTGCCACAGACGTTTGCAAAACTTGCCCCCGCCTGCAGCCGTTCGCCCGACCGCGCGCCGCTCGAAGCAGCTCCGCCCCTTCATCGCTCGTGCCCCACCTGTCCCACCCCGTCCGGCCCGCCCGCACCGCCTCCTCCCATTCCGCGCCAGCTGGCGGCCTGCCCAGGCGTGTTGCCGCAGACTCTGGCCTCCTGCGCCCCGTACAGCTCAGCCCTGAAGCTGCTGCCCGCGCCTTCCACGGCCCCGGCTGCCCAGTCCGACGGTGCCGTGTGGCCGGACACGGGCGCGGGCGCGGGCAAGGCGGCGACGCCGGTGCTGCTGCTTCTGTCGAGCAGCACGCTCTGCATCGAGGGGGCGGCGCCAGCTGACGCCGGTGCGCATTGAGGGGGCGGCGCGGCTCAACCAGGGGCGGCGGGGCGCGCGGAACCTGCTTTTTGTTCCTGCTGCGAGGGAGCTGTTGTCGCTGGTGGCATGGCGTTCGCGAGGCTCACACATTGGGACGAGGATTGTTCATTGCTCATGCTTGCCCAGCACTCACATGCACGCACACGTGTTCACATGAACTCTGATTCACACACGCTCACACAAGCTTGTAGTGCCGCCCAACCCTTCCGCCCAACCGTCCCTCACCCCGCCCCGCACTCGCGTCAATTCCACAGACCCCTCCGCCCTCATCAGCATAGACGCCCGCCAGCAGGTCCGCAGCATGGCAGAACTTCCCGCGGCCCTGCACGCCACGCTGTGCCTGCTGCGCGGCGACAGCAGGGGCGGCGGCCACCGCGGCCTCAACGGCGCCGGCGGCCCGCCTGAGGGCGGGGCAGGGCCGGAGCACGCTCAGGCGCAGGCGGGCGCGGAGGCGGCGTGCGCGTGGGCGGGCGCGCTGGGGTCGGCGATGGAAGAGGACGGCTAATAAGGTGCCGTCCGCTCGCGGCTCTGCGTTAGGCGCGGCTACACATCGTTTGTTACACGGCTGTGCACTGTCTCAAAGCGGCCAAATACATCAGGTGGGTTTGACATGGCTTTGTGGACGTCACACGGCAGCTATCCTGGGGGCCTGCCGCCCAACACGATTGTCAAAGCTATCGCTCGCAATGCATGCCAAATCAGCAGGCAGAAGGTGCACGCGCGTTGTGGGTCTAGGCCATATGGTTGTCCAAACTGCACAGGACACGTGCACATGACAACGGAGGACACCCATGCGCTAGCGCCTGGGTAAAGAGACAATCAGGCGCATTTGGTATTGCCAAAGAGACCAGAACCACTGACAGATACGGTGATTCAGCGCCCCAATTCAAGCGTCGGGCATGCCGAATGTGGCTAGCAGTTGCAAATGCGTCACAGCGACAGATGGGCCGCTTGCGCTGCCACCAGGTGGTCGTTCGCTGCAGTACCGTACGATGTCATTGTATGGCCAGCATATTCTGCAAGAGTCTTTGTTATAATGTGTGTGGCTTTCAAGCGCCGCGCTTCACCAGATCACTTCGGGCACAGTTGTTTCAGCAGCCTCGTCTGCCTACATACGACCTTCGATTCCTCAGATACACTGAATTCAAGATTGTGGATCTGAAACATCACCTCGCCCTCTCGCGCGCTTCTTCGACACCCGACCTTTGACAAAGAAGGAGAAGGCGATGGTGCGTTGAATAAGAAAGCGACCCTTGTGAGCGTGCACCATGTAGCGAAGGCCCTCGCCGCAGGCGACCGTGTTGGCGTCACACATGCTCGCCGCTTTGATGCTTGACCATGCCCTCACGGCCTGCTCGTCCCGAATTTCAGGACAACCGAGACGAGACCGACGTTGACATAGAGTCTGCCTACCTGAAGGTGTGCCGCGCCCATGGTTGACTGCCCCGCTTGACCAACGCGCAACTGGTGGGATCCTTGGCACACAGCAGCACGGTCGCTTGCTGCCTTCCAGGTGCCAACGAGTTCGTTCCCTGCGCCCTCTGGGCCCGCGCCTTGCGCAGGAGCTGCAGTCCCAAAAGGATGAGCTGATGCAGCGGGTGGGGTCGCTCAAGACAGACTTGCAGGAGTGGCGGCGGCGGCTGGACGGGCAGGTGCACACGTACAAGGCAGAGGTGCGCACACATGCAGCAGCAGCAGCAGCAGCAGCAGCAGCAGCAGCAGCAGCAGCAGCAGCAGCAGCAGCAGCGGAGGCAGCAGCAGCAGCAACAGCAGCAGTAGCGTCGGCGGCCGCGGCAGTGGTGGCGGAACGCACAGCGGGGTTCGCAGGAAAGGATTATAGACGCTGAGGGGCAGCAGCCCTGCAAACGCGCACGGCTGCGGTCGGGCTCTCGATGCCGCTGCCCATTTACAATGTTTCACCCACGCGGGCAAGCGCAAGGGCAAATGACCAACGCTGCACACACGCCTCAACGTGCGGCGAAGCAAAAGCATCGATGGAACCGCAACTTTCGGGCCGCAGGTGGTGAAGCTGCGCGCGGAGCTCAACGGCGAGGTGGACGCCCTGAAGAGCGAGTTCCAGGAGCTCAAGGCGGCGCTGAGGCAGCAGCTGGAGCTCACGACCGCAATGGCAAAGGTGCGGGGCGCGAAAAGATCGAAACAGGCGCCCTGGGTACACACCGCGCCGCAGGCGGGCGGTGCGCCAGAGCATAGGCATTGACAACAGGTGGAACGGTTTGTTGGGGTCGGAGACAGAGCAGACGACAAGGTTCATGGTCGATGTGCATGTGCTGCGACTACAGAATTGGCGCACCATCAGACAGCGCCACGCCAAACTTCCGGACCCGCAGGAGGCCCAACTTGCAGCCATGCCGCCCGACGGCGCAGCACAGCCGCAGTGACCCAGCCGCGCGCCGGGCGCCCGCCGCCTTCACGTCTCCATCGCCGAGGGCTTGGCCGGCTTGGCCTTCTTTGCCGCCGCTTTGGCCTTCGGCCGCTTCTTATCCTTTGAATCCTTTCCGTCCTTTGAGCTCTTTGAGCCCTTTGCCTTCTTGACGCTGCTGCCGCTGCCGCTCTTCGCGCCCGGGCCCTCCATGCCCACCATCTTGGCGGCCTGCTCGGCCTTGAGCAGCTTCAGCAGCTTCTTCTTGCTGTCAGAGTCAGTGACCTTGATGCCCTGTGATGCCGTCATCGATGGTGCCGCGGTTGCGGTGGTGACGGCGGACGGTGGGGTGCCCGCTATGCAAAGTGGCACGGCAAGCGCGGGCGACAACCGCCCATTCTGAAGCTGGACACAACAACGACGCATCACTTGATGTCTCAAAGACTTCCGGAGTTGCCGCAGTAACCATCCCCATGCACACCGCGTGCCGCATGTGTAAACACAACCGTGTGCATCACACTGCCAAGCAAGCTGTGACACACCCAGATTGGGTGGCACCAAACACAGGCAGACCGCCCAGGCCGCCGCCCCCCCCCCAGACCTTGATTTGCACGCCCTTGCGGATGCGGAACGCCTTCTTCTTCGTCTTCTTGGCCACGCCACCGCTCGCCACCGCGCGCTCTTCCCGCCGCTGCTGCCTCCGCTCGTTCTTTTCCGCCTGCTTGGCCAGGCGCTCCCGCTCCAGGCGCTCCCCTGCGCGCGCGCGGTACGGTCGGTGCTCGCGGTCACGCCGGCCCGCAGGTTTAAGGCTGGGATGTTGCCCGCAGGAGAACAGGCAGCGGCAGCGGGTGCGATTGGTCGAAGCAGCGGGCAATGCTGCGGAGGGCAAGCGCGGGCTGCAGGTGCGAAATCGGCAAAGCGGCGCGAGCGACTGCAGCGCAGCAGGCACCGTGGGCATGCTTGCAGCACCACAAACGGCATCGAAGCCTACTTTCTAAGTCATGCTGGTAAGCCCTGGCCTTGATGGATTTGTTGTTCTTCTTGGACATTGCCGCCGCCGGTCTCGCCCACGCTTGGCTGATGCACTTCACACTCCTGCTCAGGGGCCCAGCTGCTGCGCCCTCTGTGCGTACGCCTGCACGAAATTGCGCTGGCAGCAATGTCCCTTGGCTCCTTTCAGCGCCCGCCGCCGCCGCTGTTGGCGCTCCGACGCCGCCCGCTGCCGACTGCCGCTGTCCGCCGCCTCGTGTTGCAGCGCTGCTGCTGGCAGCTGGCGTACTAGGTCAATTTTGAGTGATAGGAAGCGCAGATAACAACTGTGTGGGGTTGGAGTCCTGCGGCGACACTTGAACGACGCCGGGCAGCTGCGATGAAAATCGGGAAGTGTTCGTATTCCCAGTATTGTATAGGCCGTGTGGCTCTTTCCGGTCGAGCTGCTCTGTCTTTTGTCTCTGCACGCTTCCATGAACAGATCAACAGAAGCTGCCGCTCCATCCAGGCCCCACGAGGAACTTCAGCAGCACAAGGAACGGGTTGCAGACAAGCTCCAGGGGCTGGTGACCACCATAGACAAGATCCCAGGCATACTGCACGCTGACAGCAAGCAGGCGAGCACTTCACCGGCAGTGCCAGGCGGCCGAGGGCGTCACTGCCTGCATATGTTGCTGCTCCACGGGCGCTGCATGGGGCACCGTCCATGCACACGTCGCACATGCAACGTCAACCTGGCGCCATTGTGGGACGCAGATCGGGCTTGCCAGCCGGGCGCTGCTGTCACGAGAGGCTGGCGTCTACCGGACCAAGGAGGTGCGCCGCATGTGCGCGCCAAACACACCGAAACGCCAACAAATCAGCCCCCGCACCAACAGGATCAACCTTCCACCCGCAGCGCCACGCGGCACGGCGCGCTGCGCAAACCGCACAAGTTCAAGGGCCCCCAACGCAGTGCCAAGCGCGAGCCTAGAGCGACGCTGCCTTGCTTGCACTGCGCCGCCGGGTGGCCAGCCTGCAACTCGGGCATTTCTGCGATGCTCACAAACCAAACACGTTGCTGTCCCCCACTTGCCCTCCCCAATTGGCGCGGCTTACCCCAGATCCTGGGCCTGCTGCCTGCTGACCTGTCTGCATACGACCAAGAGCTAGACGAGCTGACTCAGAGGTGTGGCCGCGTCACCCCGGCAGAGTGGTTACTCCAATCATGTCTGGACCACGGGGCTGGTGTGAGGAGGCCTGCGGGGCCAAGGCTTGCGGGGGAATTTGGCGCACCCAAGGACCTAAGCTATCCTGCAACCGCGGGTGGATGCGCGGCCTGAACGCAGCTGATCAGTGTGTTCGGGCCTGTTGGTGAGGCGGGGCCCTCAAAGCCACCGGCAGCGTCTTGCGAGCGCTGACCCCCTTGGCACTCTTGCCGCCCCCACCCCTCAGGGCTGCAGACATACGCCGCGCCCTGCAAGTCCTGGGAGGGCCCGCCCCCAGCCCCCAAGCCCACGCCCCCGCCGCAGGCAGCTCGGGCCCGGGCCCAAGCACGGCCGCAGCGGCGGCGGCAGTGCCTGCGCCAGCGGCGGCGGACGCAACTGCGGCCGCAGGCCCGGCCAGCAGCGGACCAAGCTGAGGATTGTAAAGGGTGCAGCGGCTGCCGTTGACCCCGAAGGCGTCGTGGCATCTCCCGTGTTGAGCAGGCAGGCGCGGTTACTTATGGAATGGCAACCCGACGCGCCTGCTGCCGCAGCGGCAGCAGCGGCGCCCGCAGACACGGCCGCAAGGCTGCACATCCTGATGCAGCGGCGTCGCGCAGCGGAAGCAGAGGGGCAGGGTGCGGGCGGCAGCGGCGGCGGCGGCGGAGGTGACCACCAGCGCCCTGCAGAGCTGCTAACGGTCGAGCCGCAGCAGAGGGCGGCGGCAGCTAGCCTTCCGCCAGAGCTGCTGCGGCGGCTGCAGCAGCTGCGGGGCCGCGGGCCCGAGCAGCCGTCGCC